TGGGGAGAAATTGGCCCCTTAGGGAGAAGTGGGTCACAGGTGACATCTGTTACCAGGGCTATCAGAACCTAAACAAAAACAAAAAAACACACGAAACAATACACTCCTCAGAACGGCTCAAATAAATATGGAATTTACCGGAAATTAAGACCACCAAAGTATCCAAAGTCAACATAGAAACAGATGTCACCTCTGTGGTTCTTGCAATAGTGTCTCTAAATTCAGAATGTAGGTGGGGCTAAAATGGCTCTGATTGAGTCAATATGGACTGAGGAAATATCTTCCACTGCTGGTTTTACAAAGTGTTGGCTCTTTTTGCCCTGTCTTCTGGAAAAAAATCAACCCCAACATCACCTTCGTCTCTTTCTTTGACAACAACCCTAACATAGTAAAACTGGGTGGTCTTTGTTGAGAACTCACACACCACACCATGCACTGCTGATGTGATCTGGCCCAGCTGCTTAGTAGGCTACCACGAGGTCCGCTGACTTTTGGGACTTTATGAACTGTTATGATTCCTGTTTCGTCAAGATTGAGTTTCTGAGCTCCCGAGACGCCCAAGTGACTATCTAGAAAGAGCGTACAACAAGTGGAAAAATGTTCCCACAGAATGTCTGTTGAAAGCTGTGGCTCTTTCCAATGAGGTAGCCACTGGCTGTCGCAAACTGAGTTGCAGACGTCTCCAAAGAAAACACATGTGCCACTCCTTTCCGGCACATTTTGCATCATCCCACGAAGATGGGTACAAAAGGTCTTGGGTGATTTGAAACAGGGACTTCATAGACGAGTTTTCTGCAGTAAGCAGTTGTCAAACCAAAGGATCTTAAGGCACATTTCAACATGTGCTGCGTCAATTAAGCCTCCTGTTCTACTGTGAATACTTGACTGTGACGATAGTTTGGACACAATTCAACATCATCTTGAAAAGCTTTCTTCACATTGTTTAAAGGGTAGTGCGAGCAATGCTGTGAAGGTATGTGACTTCCCTCAAAGGCACTCCATTTCTGACAGCTGCCACTGCAGTTTTCATTGCATCAGGTAAGGCTGTGCCTATGCCGGTCTTCCTTTGATACGTAGCACTGTCCCTATAGGTTGAACAGAAAAAAGAATAAGAATAAATCATTTAATGCGTGTCTTCGGGAGGCGGTTCAAGCCAAAAGACTACGTGTAGAAAGAAGCGGGTACACAGTGTCACAGTATTAGAGCACCAGTGAGGGAAAACTCCGGAATGGTAGACTACTACAATACTGCCCCAAGGTTTGTTTTTTAAGTCTAGATCAAGATCTAAGCCTCTATGTCTATCTTATACTCTAATAAAATAGGTAATACAGTCTAAAATCGCAAGGAAATATGTTGAAGATTATATTTCTACAACTGAGGAAAAGCGGGCCACACGTGGGGAGAACTGGGCTGATGGTGGTCAGCTTCTCCCCATTGGCAGTCTGACCATTCAAATGTATGTTTTCTTCAACTGGCAGTTAAAACTAGGAGAACAAATTTTAAAAATAAGTAATTAGATAAGTTCGTTAACTATGGTTACACTTACCCGATCTGTTTTGCTCCTCTTTGTGGTAAAGTTGCGAGTTTCAAAAATCAAGTATTTCAACTTTTTCTTGACGAAAACGTCTTTTCCACGCCGTTCACTCAAACCGCCCTGAAATAGAAAGGGAGTTGCTTCCTTGTGCTAGAAACAATTTTTGTTAATTTTTTTATGATATGTAAAATTGCACTGTACTTCTAGATTTGACTCTTCAAGGGGTGGCCCACTTCTCCCCACTCTCCCCTATTTAAATTTTTCAGTTAGTGCAAAACTTCGATGCTAATGATCTTGGTCTTAATCCATGAGGCCAACACGGAGTTCTTGAACTTGGTTTGCTTTTGAGTGTTTTCATAG